AAAACGGAAGGAAGTTTGGTTGGTAAAATCAGAGCCTCATTGAATTGTATGACCTAAGCCCTTTTGATCAGAAATGGATGACTTTACCTCATCTTGTATGATTTTAGTAACAGCCTTGTATAAAACTTTGGCTGCTGACTTTATATGCAACCCCTAATGTTTAAACCCAAAGGTAAATACATTTTTTCATGTTATCTAGGGCTCTAATGACAGGGATGAAGCCCAGGTTATGGTGTTCTCTGCGGGCAGCCATACCAAGAAATCTACAAAGAACCAACTCTTAGGCTTAAAAATGGCACAGAAAATGTCCTAAATGACTTTATTACCATAGTAGGTAAGTGCTTTCCTCACGTCTTAGCTCTGTATATGCATAGGTGCTCAATATAATGAATGTGGTTAAGAGAGGAAAAGTGGCAAATGAAGATCTCTTTCCGAGACTGACTAGAAGCAAGATAATAGTAAATGAGAATTTCAGATGTGAATATAGTCATCTTGTCCTCATGGAATCTGTCAGGCTTATGATTTCTATGGCCCAAGCAATTCATTATCTTCTAAAAGGATATCCCCTTATGAACTTCCTTTTTATAGGTGGAGAAACAAGAACAAATAGAAATGAAATCACTTACTTTGGGTAAAGGAAAAACATGGATAACTTTGGAAAGAATTGCACGTTTTTTAAAAGATCCAGTCCAGCACTCCAGTTTCTAACCATTACCCTTTCATGAGACCCCCTTTCTAGGAAAGCAACTTATTGTCAGATGTGCTGATCATCCAGATATTCCAGCCACCAAGCTGCATTAGACCCGCTGTCTCACTATATCAGCCTGATACAAAGTCAACAAGTTTTGTTTTGGTTCTTCTATTTGGGATTTAATAGCCTTATATCATAAAACTATTCTCTTCCCTCTTCCTGTATTCCTGCATATTCGGTTTTGCAGCAAACGAAGCCAAAGCAGGCTCAGTTACTCTATGGAGCAGATGCAGTTATTGTATAACCCCGTTTTATTTCCAGAGGATTGTCTATCCTATGTACTGAAAGGAGATATGGTCTTGTGTAGACAAAAGAATCTAGCTATGAAATTAGAAGTTATATTGTAATACACACTAATAGATGAAATCGAGACACTTCCTAAATCCACATAAACTTGTTTTCTTGACTTCACAAATTTAATTTTCAAACTTTTTAAACCATTTTCTTTAAAAGGTCTAGGTAACAGTTATACACTACTATACTGCCTCCCTTTCATTATATCGTAAGTTTTTACAATTTTGGCCTTCAGGATTGTAATGTTGAACATCATCATCAGAATTAAAATACAGGAATACAAATACAGAGATACAATAGAAATTGGCTTCAAAACTCCTACTCCATAGACCAGGCACTCCAGAAACTACTGCTTAATGTCACTAGCAGTGGTCTACTATGTATACATGAATACCTCATTTTATAAAGAGCAGGGCAAAGCTTTTTGGTAGATTCTTTCTGAGAAATTATACTGTTCCCAGATTTTGCCCATGTGGGCATAGGGACATGCGGGACACAGGGCTATGTGGGGCACCGACTTAACGGCAGTGGTCAACAGTTATAGCAAAACTGGAACTTTTATAATGTTTCTTGGTTCCCAGGACAGTTCCCATCTAAGTTACCGCCTTTCCCTGAATTGGTGTTGAGGAGCAACTCTGTCAATCCTGCAGAGCTTTTGGCAAGCAGAGTTGGAAAGTAGTGCTTGTTGGTAGCTTTCAGCTTGGACCAATCCAAATATTTTCTTAAATGTAATGAAAGGCAACTTCATAAATTCCAGGATGATCCCGCTGATAAATTTTAGGTTGCAAAATGCTGAGCTGTTACAATGTTTTTGTAATGGAAAGTCTTAGTGAGAATTAAAAAGAGATAGAAATACCATTCAACCACTATTTCTATAATTTTCTGACTTTTAAGAAAACACAAGTGCTCGCTTTCACAATCTAGAAGACTGTGATAAGTCCAAGTGGACATTCCTGTCCCTCAGTGGAAGAAGACTGGTAACAGATAGAGAAGGGACTGGAGTTCCTCAGTATTCAGAGATAAATATTCCTGTGATTTGGTTAGTCTGGTGATCTGTCAGGTTCAGTGCAAGTGTAGAAGTGCATATAGAAACTGATTTACTGAATTGAATATATTAGAAAGAAAGCATCTATTAAAGAAGTGGGAAGTTTTGCCCATAATTTTCTTTCTTGCTTGTCTTTTCACCTGCATTTTAAGGCAATGGATGATGCCCCTCCATTTTCAAGGTTCACATTGATGCCTGCAAATACATTTTCTTGTCCTCAGACAAACTGACATCAGTAAGATTCAGCTCTGGAGGCGTTACCATCACATATTAGCTGCTTCTTGACTAGAAGACACTTTCCCCAACATTCACAATTCCATCTCCACAGTACATTATCATGGGAGGTCTATACCTATATGCTTTATACACACCTTACAGTTTCAGCACACTGGTATGAACCTGCCTTCATTTTGGCTTAGCTCCTATTTCTTGGGATTGCTCCCAGTAATATCAATGTGTTTGCCATCAACCTTACAGCTAGATTTGCTAATTAAAATGGTGGTTTTTTTTGTATATATTCTTAAACAGACAAAAACTACAGAGAAAACAAATCATCTCTTGAAAAATATTTGTTTTGTTAACTAGGCTGATTGACTGAGGAAAACAGATCTCAATCAACTACAAAGGACACGAAATGACTCTTGCACGTTACAGAGGGGCACGATGACAAGGACTCAGCAGTTTCAAGAATAGGTAAATGATAATCTCTGGAGGAGTCCAAACTAATTGGACTGTGCAGATCAGTTCTTGGAACCTGTCTTGTAGAAGATTCATCAAACATATTGTTGAGTTGATTATGGCTCTGATTAATGTTACCAACTGTCTTACAGTGAAAATGGATTTTCCTCAGTATATTTTCAATCCCAGGCCTTGGAAGAAGACCAGGCTGTCTGTGGGGTTTCAAATAAGCCTGAATTCATATATTGATAAACCAGGATCTCTCTTTTTTTTTTTTTTTCCCTGAGATATAAAGGCAGTACTTTATACCGGGAGGCTTATTTTGGAAGAGAAAGTAAACTTCAGAGAAACAGAAAAAGAAAGACTTTTCCCTATGGACAAATCTTAACAACACAGAAATCTTTCCTGTCTATTTTC